TCACGATTTTTGAATATGAAAGATCACGTAATTCGAACGTGTTATGGCAACCCCCAATAATCAAATCGTATTGTTTTAATGTTAGTATAGAATTACATTATATTGACGCAAGTTTAAATTTAATTTAATTCAAGCCGAAATATATTATTTTTGTTATATTTGTAATTAAATTATATTTAAATGTATTTAAAATAGAAATTAGATCAAACATTATATATATATATATTTATTTAATTTGTATTGAACTTTGAATACTTCTATTTCTTTTATAAAATAATTCATTCACACCTCTCGATTTTAATTTATAGAACAATAATTTATTTTTCCGTTTTTTAAAAAAATTTATTTACGTAATACTTATACAATATAAAAATAATATCATATTGGATTAATATGAAATTACATAATTCGTATGGCCCTTGTAAAGTGCGCAAGGAATCAACGAGCATGCAGACCGAATGCTTTAATTAGATTTAATCATTGGCATGTTTATATAGGTGTGAATATATAATGCCGTCAGCTTTATATTAATTACTAACAAATTAAATCATTTATTTAATATAACGCAAAAAAAATAATTAAGATATAAAAAAAATATTTTATTTAAACAAAAGGTTTGACCAAAAAGCTGGTGATTAGTAATAATTAAGTTATTAAATGTAATTAGATTAATATTTAATTAAATTGTTAAACACAAACATGCGTTGACGTGTAAACCCAAGACAAAAGTTAGTGTCTCTGCGTGTGATTTAACACACAGCTTAATTATATTATTAATTACAGAAATAATTACCAATTAACTACATAAATATATACATACATACATACATACATACATATATATATATGAACTCTAACAACAGATATAATACGAAATGTCTCAATACATTTTCTGTGTCCATTTAAATTGACAGTCTTATCAGTTGCTTTGACTTCAACTTCCCAAACAAGTTGACTTTTTTCTTCGAAGAAGAAGTTGACTCCAAGGGGATTATTAAGTGGGCCCAACTCATGAATGTCAACCTCTGGGCATTTTATGAGGACTGTTTGGTTACGTGATTAATTCGGCCCAATAGACTGTTAAAAGGTCTCTAAGCTTAACCCTGTTAGTGGTAATTCCATATTCATGGGAAAAGGCCCCAAAGGGTGTTTTCTATATAT